GAGGGGGGAGGGGGAGGAGGGAGGAGGGGACGGGTATATGCATACACAAAGAGTGCAATGTGCACCATCCGAAAGATGGACATATTTGAAACTCGGACTTAGAGGGGGAGGGCGAGGCAAGGACAACATACGTAACCTAAACATCTGTGCCCCCATAATATGCTGAAATAAAAAAAAAAAAAAGATTCTTTCTTGAACTTTATTTACAGTTCAAACAACTTCCTCACAGAATAAACTACTAACACCATAGTATTTTATAGAAAACTTTATTTGTATAACATATTGCTTTAGAGATAAATAATTATATAGCTTTTACATGGGTCAATCTGTGTATTGAGTTCTTTACAAAGTTCAATTAATTTAACCTCTACAATAATATCATGAAGTAAATATTATCATCACCATTGTACAATTAGACATAAGAAGCCAAGAGAAGTTGCTAAGTGAGCTGTCCAAGTGGACTTAATCTTAATTTTTAGTCTAATGAACCACATAAAGCAATAGATGGAAGACTAGAGTGGGAATATGGAGGGAAATTTATTCTCAGCTCTATATTACAGATAGACTCTGGAAACTCTCTCCAATCACAGATAATAAACATAAGTTTATAGACATATTGCAATGTTTATTAAGTCAAGGTATTTAAAAATGTTTTGAAATTTTTCATTACCTTTTAATTTAAAAGAGCATATTAGCTGAAAACATAAATGGATGTCTTTAGCAACAATGATTAATAATGTATTTATTTTCCCTTCCCTAGGTTCTTCATAAAGGGACCAGCTACAGAAAACAGTTGTGCTGCCACTAAGAAAAGCAAAATTTACTCTGAAACCTGCGGCAGTGTTTTCAAATGGATTTGCCAGTATTAGTGTTTAACAAAAGCGATAATGAAAAAATTAATAATCACTTTTTTGGGGCTATTAAGTTCTAATATTTGTTAGGTCCAGAGCCAAGAGAGAGACACACGAAGCCTCACGTGTAGCAAAAATGCTGTTTATTTTGAGTATCTGGGTGCAGATGGGTGGAGGCCAAAAGAATGTCCACCCCGAGGGAGGGGAAAGCCTTCGGTTTTATTGAGGGATTCTCTGCAGGGAGTGAGTTCCTGGACCAGAACAGCCACTCTAATAAAATTTTTTTAAAATAACCAATTTCTGGGACCCCTGTGTCGGTCTCATCTTGCAGAGATAAGGGAGGGGGGAAGCTTTGTCTTTATGGGGGCGGGGTCAGGAATGCTGGCGTCTGCAGCTGTCTGTAGATTTACAGCCTCTGAA